TATGACTCTATCTTTCAACATGCACATGCATTTTTGTTTTTATTTCTTTTTTTAATGATTCAATCTTTTCAAAATACAATATTTACTTGTAAGAAACATTATATAGAATAATTTATGCTTTTCTTAAATTATGGAAACATGACCTACAAATGTGTGTATTATTTATAACAATGCATGAAAGAATTATTTTGCATAAGAGATACATCATTGTAATTATATGAGATGCAATCTCGCACCATTGATAGTTGTCTTATGCTTAGAAAAGAATATGAATCATAAACATATCCATTAACACATTTAGGCTTAGAAGAAATGAGTTTTTACTTTAATTTAAAAATTAGATGATTTACTAAGTTAAGTGTTGCAGAGATGAGGATGCTTAGGTGGATGAGTGGCTTGACCCTTAGAGATAGGATACAAAATGAGCATATACGTGAAAAGGTTGGAGTAGCTCTAGTTGAAGATAAGATTAGAGAGAGCCGCCTTAGATGGTTTGGTCACATTAAACGGAGGCCTTCCGATGACCCGGTTAGGAAAGTTGAGGTATTAGATTTGACTTATATTAAAAAAGGTAGAGGTAGACCTAAAAAGTCTTGGTTAGAAAATATTAGAAATGATCTTTCTTTATTAGATTTAAATGAGAATTTGACTTTTAACAGGACACAATGGTGGTACAAGTACTTGAAATTTAAATCGGTTGAACCAAACTTGAATTTTTCGTGTTGGATTTGTAAGTCTTCTAAATAGTGTAGTGAGCAAAGTAGATGTTGCAATCATATAATAGAGACTTAAAATTTATTTTAGAAACAATGATCACTATACAAGGTTTTAAAAGGCGAAATCGGGAATCGAGGCGTTTTTTCTAAACGAGGCGAGGTGTAAGCCTCAAAACGATTAAAATAAATTAATTTAAAATTATAAATAATGACAAAAAATAACAAAATATTATGTCAACTATGAATTTGAAGATTTGTTTTAAGATAATATTACTGGAATACAAGATTTAAAATAAACTCACTTAAAAATAAAACATCCCCTTAGGATCAAGACCTAAAGTAGGCGGGGTTCGATCGAGCGTACCGAGCGTGTACCGCTCGGTACCGAGCATGTACCTAGCAGTACCGAGCATGTACTGGCGGTACCGAGCTTGTACTTGCTCGGTACCGAGCATGTACTGAGCGGACGAATGAAAGAAAGCCGAATAAGGAGTTAATTCAAGCATTCGTTACTGCACGTCAAAGTCAAGGCCACAACATCGCGTACCTGCTCTTCCGACCTAATCGATGCCTGAACGTTTCTTGCACTCACAACTTCGGCTTCGTCTCCTTCCCTGCGTCGTCTCCTTCCGACTTCGTCTCCTTCCCTCACGGCTTCGTCTCCTTCCCTCACGGCTTCGCCTCTAGTTCGCCTTTTAATTCTCACAGGAAGCCCTAATCCTATACGCGAATACACAAATATGAATCGACTGCGTCGTATTTACATATATACCGAAGAAAAAATTTCGAGGCGGTGCCTCATACTGCCTCGAGGCGTTACGCTCTAATGCGCGTGCCTCGTGCGAAAAAATCGTAGGCTTCGCTGGATTGTTCGAGGCATAAGCCCCGATACGCATGACTTCCGCCTCGACTTGAGGCGCGACTCAATGCGGACACCTCGTCTGCTTTTTTAATGGTTGGTTGATTTGATTTGTCGATTAATCCCTAAATATGACCTTCTTTAGCTTAATACTTGTATTCATATTTACAATTACTTGTAAGGCATTCATGTCAGCTAAGGCATTCATGTTGTTGTTGTTGTTAGAGATTAGTTGATTTGATTTGTCGATTAATCCCTAAATATGACCTTCTTTAGCTTAATACCTGTATTCATATTTACAATTACTTGTAAGGCATTCATACAGAATGGAGACGTGGATATGGCCTATGTCTGGTTGTGATGGTAATTGGGACGACAATCTAGAGGTGTATCACAATTTCATACAGAATCGAGACGTGAATATGGTCTTGAATGATCGGGCTGATATGATTGAGAATTTTTGTAGTGGATGTTTGTGATTTTAGGAACTCATCAAGCATGTGTTTGAAATATTTTGCCATGGATGTTGAATAGGAAGCAACCTTCTGCACTCTAAGTGCAGATGGAAATGCTCCAATGAAGCATAATTCAGATATGACGTGTTTTTATAAGTCCATAATTGTTATTTATCTAATTTACAAATGATTTATAAATTTAGACAATTAATTATGGATAGTGTTTGTTCATTTTTTTACTTTAAAATTGTCTATGCTGTTTCAAACATGGTTGAAAAAAGTCGAGAGAATGTTTATCAAAATGAATTTAGTCCCCCGCTAAGAAATATTTTTTTCTTCGCCACTGATGTAACCGTAATCCATAAATTTCCAAAGGGATGCATTAAACCAAAATAGCCAGTTTGAAATCATATATATAATTCATTTGTGCATATTATATTTTTAAACATAAAAAGTGGAAAATTTTTTATGTTGTTTTAGCCCAATTCAAATTTGAGCCGGTTAGAAATCGAGCTGGTTTAAGCTGAACTGGCTCAAAATGAAATTAATTCGATCCACGAGCTGATACATACCATCAAGTGTCTTCTTTATGCATATCAACTAATTTTCAACTTAGTAGCCCCTTTCGCTCCTATTAAAAGAGGTTGTCATATGTCTTGGAAAACAACTTAAAGCATTTATCCATGGTAGTGTTGCTACCCCCACTTGATTAGGATCAAGAATCTTGGATTAGTTGAGTTATTGTTGTCATCATTTGAGTACAGATATCCGTGAAAATAATAATTACACTAGATTGTGGGACCAATTAATTCTTGTACTAACGTGACTTCTAATCACCCTATCCTAACTTTATTTGTGTTCTCAATTGTGGTTTACCTACAAGAAGCCATAGACTTGATATGCTAATGACACTAAAATCTTTGATGCTGCTTATAAAATTCTTCATTGATCATTCTAATGACTTCTTTGTCATAATTTATCTCTTTTTTAACCTGTTGCTCTGATATCATTTTTGTCATGATTTGACCCATGAGCTTGCAATTATCAGGGTAGAAATAGATAGGGAATGGAAGTTTGAAGCTTAACATATATTGTACACAACTAGAACAATTTTAAACCAACTTGTTCTTGTATGTAAAAGACTTTTAATCTCACAAAAGAGATACTAAACCAGGAATTTCATTTATCATGAAGAAATTCAGTTACATTTTGAATACATGTCATATACTAAACATTTGAAGGGGAATTATCTAAATAATTTTATGTATCTATCATAATTATACAAGTATCTAACATATTATACTTCTTGTATGTTGTAAACACTATGTTCCATTTACTTCATCATATATTTTTTGGGAAGACATTTGTTAATTAATCAGGGTGAGGTATGAATGTATAACTTAGTAGATATATCGCAGTTTTAAATTGTAGTAACTCAAAGAAAATAAGAAGCAATATACATGCCAATTATTATATTAAAGTTGTAAAGAAATCATAAAATTTGATTTTTCATTATAATATAATTATAATCATATACATTGATTAGCTGTCAAATTTATGAATAATAATATAATCATAACATTTAATTTGATATTAAGAGTCTAAACATAAATCAAATTTATTATATAATAACTTATCCTTTAGCATATATTTACAACATCAATCTTAGAAGCACCTTTTAAGCATAAATCTTACTAATGTTTGGTCGATTCATCCCTCGTCGGTATAGTAAGACATATCTTATAAATCTAATGTTGTTTAAGATTGAAAGGCAACTAAATCACTACTAGGCGATACATGCATTGTGAACATAGCAGAGTGTAGCTCATACACCTACTATTATCTATAGTGAAAAGGTTAAAGTCATCACTCCTTAGGTTCATTATTGGCCTCAGCTAATATCATGAGGGAGTGACTCTATCTTTTAACATTCACATGTAAATATTCTTATATTTTCTATTTTGCATTTTTTAACCAAGCAATATTAATATATTCTTTTTTTTTTTAAATAATTGAATTTTGAAAGATAATGTTGAGCTATTTGTATAATTCTTTACAAAATGAAAGAATCATTTTGTGTAGGGGTGTCAATTTCGGATCACGGGTCGGGTTCGGGTCGAACCCGAAACTGACCCGGCACTATTCGGGTTCGATCAACCCAACCCGTTTAGGATTTAGGGTCAGTGCGTCAGGCGGGGTAGCGGCAGCGACAATGGTGCCGGCGGCCGGTGGGGCAGCAGCAGCAGAGCGGTGCCGCGAAGCGACAGCAGGTGATGCGTGGAGCGGACACGACGTGGCGCGATGTGGGGCAGGCGGGCAAGCGGACCGCGGGGTAGGTAGGGCAGCTGGATTTCCGGGTCATTCCCGGGTCAACCCGAACCCGACCCGGTTTTTCAAACAGGTTGGTTTTCCGGACCTGAACCAGACCCACTTCGTGTTCGGGTCGGGTTTTCGGGTTGGGTATATTGACACTCCTATTTTTGTGCATAAGAGATAAATAATTATAACTATATGAGATATAATATTGTAGTAATAATATTTGTATTATGCTCATAAAAGAGCATGAATCATGAAAATATATATTAGATGCATCAACTTTTGAAGAAAGGAAAATTGATCTCATTTTAGATATGAGATTACCCATTTTAGCTTTGGATGATTTGATCAGCCAATTAATCCTGTAATGTTGCTTCCTTCAGCTAAATAACAATATTCATATTTGCAATTACATGTCAAGCTTTCATATCAGCAAACATAAATTCTTCCTTTAATCATGTAGCCTCTTTAAGCTCTAGCCTAATTTTCTTTTACGTGGATAACATTTCATTATTATTAAGATATGATGTATAACTATCTCCACAAATTCTCGTAACTATACACATTTACTTCATTTTTTGTTCTTTTTTAATTTATAGATAAGAATTAATAATTTTATGTTTCTGACATCTTTTTATTAAACGCTCCTTTTAGATTTGCTTGAGGGAGAGATATTTCTTCAAAATTTACCCAGTATTGTTGCTGCTCACGTTCTTGGTATGATTATTGATTTCGAGCACCTTTACTTACTGTTACTTGCCCTTTCATTGGCATTTTTTTTCATTTGAATCTTCTTAATTAATTACCCTTTAGCATTACTAAATTTGAGTATTACATAAAAAATTAGATTTATTTTTTTAGTTATCTTAAAAAATTTAGAAGAAAGACCTCTTTTTTTTCTTGCATAATGCTTTCTCTTTCTACAGGCCACATATTCCTACATTGCAAGGTACGATTTAAATAAACAAAAAGGATTTTCGTTTATTTCTCAAGAAGAGTCCTTGAAATAGAGTTAAGTGGCATTATAGATTGTATTTTTAATGTATTCTATACACGCTAAAGGCTTGCTCACAATGATTATCGAGAAGGCACTGCTGTTGAAAATTGTGAGAGAGATTACTAAAGGTTGCAGTGGTGGTAAAGAAAAGATTTGGCGTTAAATTCGGGCTGGACTGAATTTGGTAACAAAAATATTGATTATAGCTATTGGCGTGGAGTTGTAGTGGAAGGGATTTGTTTCGTACAGGGTTTGAGGATAACTTAGGTAAATGGTGCACAACCTAAGGGGAAGAGAGATGAAGAAAGATCAGACACTCAACCTAGGAGTGAGAATGGGTACACAAACTAAAATGGATGGAAGGTGCCTTGATTGGCTAATGGAGGGATGCAAGAGATTGGTATTTCACTTCATTTTTTTCTTTTACATTATGGTTCTATATATCTAGTGGAAAGGGGGGATTTTCCATCACGTCTCCAAAATCCCTCTGCGCTATCCAAACAATGATAAATGTAGAAATACAATAAAAAATCAAATGACATAGTACTACATATATATAAACGAATATATAAAAGAAATAATGTTCACTAAGAATCATGAATTGTGTTATGGAATTAGTTGAATATTGGTTTGGACAAACTTGCCTTTGCCCTGCATTAGAATTTTTTATTGTTGCCACATTGATTAGTTTTATGACCTGGGCATTCATTGTTGGTGATGCCCTATTACGTTATGAAACATGTATTCTTAAGTGGAGAGGTCTAGTAGGCTGATACTTTGTTCCATAAATATTTGAGCAGGATTTGAAATGAGTAGTAGCTTGAGAGTGCGACTTCATTAATACTTTGTATGATCATGGTTTAAAATTGCGCAATATGAGGCCCGCCTTTGCGCAATTCCAGTAAAAAACACCTCGATGCTTACGCCTTGAGTTTTTTATGAGGCTTGCGCCTCAACTTGGTTGAGGCTCACCTTAAGGCCCTCCTCGCCTCACTAGCATGAGGCTTACGCCTCACGCTATATATATATATTAAAACTTACATAAATCTTGAAGTAAATGCCCGACATTGGACTCTATAGGAGAGGAGGAAGGGGAGAGAGTAGTTCATCATAATGATGATTCAAATGAAGAACCCCTTAGTGATGACAGTGCTGATGACTTATGAGTTCTTATGTGATATATCATTGCTATTTATTTTTTGAAATTTGAATTATATGTTAATGAAGAAAATACTAGGCTTTGGGAAAGATAGAATTTTGAGTTGAACTATATTTCATGTTGTTTTATTATTGGGATATTTTGATTTCACTTCATATCTTATGTTTTGTATGTTTTATATTATTTACTCATTAGTATATAAAAAATTTATCATTTTATGTTTACGCAATCTTTTGATTTTGAGGCTTACGCCTCAAAACGCCTTCAGGCTTACGCCTCGCCTCACAAATGAAAAACGCCTCAATACCCGAATACGCAATTTTAAACATTGTGTATGATTGTCAATGACATATTCGCTTATATACTTCCCGTTGTTCTCTATCTTTTTGTATTGAGATTTGCCAAGTAGGGTGACATCATGGATGAACCATGAAAATGCTAACCGTCGTGAGTTATTCATGCTGCAATCCAAATTCTAATATACTATAGAGAAGAATAAATAAAAGTCCTTAGCTGTATGGACGAGGTATGTTTGTTGTTGAAATACATTCTAAATAATTATGAACCCAAAGTGTGGTATTGCCTAGTCTTCGCATGCTGTTGTGGTGGCTGGGAAGCAATTATCTTTGTGTGTGGCAGGTGCTGGCTTTGCTTGCTGCAATTGTAGCTTTGCGTGGTAGCTATTCAAACAATACAGTAGGAAAGTAATTATAATGTTAATATATCATTTACTGAATAAATTTTATGTAGTAAGTGGTTTGATATTAGGTTTGTAGTAAGCAAAAAATGTAATCATCACCATGCATAAATTGTTGCATAAACAAAACCATGCATAAATAGTTATTGCTAAACATTTGAATACATATAGTATTCAACTTTAATATGTGCATCCATATGTAGTTTATAAGTAAAAGTAATCCTACTTTAAAAATACAATATTTTAAGACTATGCCAATATACTTCTAGTATTTCAAATTTATACTTTTCATAATTTAAAATAGTGCATAATCATTTGATCATAATTGGTAGGACATGAATTTGCTCTTTTCAATATGAAAAACTTTCTAATACATAGTTTACTTAGAAGTTTACCTTAAAAAATTATATACAAATTGATAAAGCAAATTGTTTTCTAAATATAAAAATTGAATATCTTATGATCATCTCAAAAACTCATTTCTTCTATAAATAATCTATAAAATATAGATTTCTCAAATAAAAAATTTCCTAACTTATAATCATACTTGTCAATGACGAATGACACACCGCGGCGCAAAGTTTCCTGTGGAGTCATGACACATAGCTCATGGCGAGGTGCGCCATTTTAAACATATGGCACAATATAAAATATGTGGGCTTCAAAAATTGCGGCCCTAGCCTCTCACACTACTTTTCTTCAGGGGAGTTTTAACGGAATTAAGTTCCGAGGTAAATTTTGGGAAGATAGATTAGTTTGTAGATAAGACACTGCCCAGAGATTTCGCCCTCATTTTGCAAGGACTTTATGATCTGAGTTCTAGTTTCCTATAGGTGCAAGTCCCTATAGTTAATTACCCCTCCCGATCACGAGAGAGAACTTTCGATTCAGACTAGTTATCGATCAAATACTTAGAAATACATGTTATCTGGCATATAGTAGCAACATAGGTTTGGGTATTTGGAAATTTGAAGGTTTTATATTTAAAATTGTAAATTTCATCATCTTGCACTTAAAGCGGATGGTGGGGGAATGAATGATGGACCCGATCAAGATCCCATGGTTTCGTCGTCCTGAGCCATCGTGGTCCTTAGTCTACTTAGTTAGAGGAGGTAGTCGACCCAACCTGACAGAAGGATCCTTGTAGACCTGGGGTGGGTATTTGTCTAAGTAGACAAATTTGAATCCACCTTTGCTAATGGAGGGCTTTGTACCCTATCGATTATATCCTATTGATTCATATCTCAAGAATTTGATGCCAATAAGGAATGTATTGACTTCGACCATAAATGTTATCTAGTGTGCCATTTGATGGCAAAATCGCTCGGTTCAGAGGGCCCCGGGTCATAACTGTTTATTCTGCGGTGCCATTTAGCAGCAAAATCGCCGGTCAGAGGACACATATCATGTCCTTACTGGTAGGAGATTATTTGAGAATGGATCCTAGTGATATTCTCGACTAGGCATTGATTCTATATGAGTTGAAGTAAATTTCAATTTGTCCACCTCGACAAACTGTTCCGGATGGTGGATGAATTTTTCTTTTAGTGGCTGACTGGTTGATTTCAATTTTAAATATTTTAGACTTGAATGATTTTTGGAAATTTGGATTTTCAAATATTTATGATAACATTTTGATTATTTGGAATTAACCCCTTTGGTTGAGATCCACATTCAATACGGCCATTATCAGGGTGAATGGGGTTATTTCTATTTGTGGATTGAACTTTGTCGAGCTGTCGATAGAGGATCGAGTTTTGTAGGCTTTATTCTTTGTTGATGAATTTCTTTTGTTATAGGCCTTGAAGGCCTTAGATGAGCGTATAAAATAGATATTTCGGTCGACACTCTGATCGTATATATGTTTGATAGTTCAAACCATGTCGATTCCTATTTATTCATATAGAAGGATCAGTTTTGAACTCCGTCCATTTATTGACCCGCGCAACATCCCTAGACGTCACGTGTATATCCAAAACACGCTCGCCGGGATCCATGCGGGTGTTTGGGGTTATTTTATAATTATTTGTTGAACCTTATCAACTCTTACTTACCTACTTAGGAGGATCGGTTCAATTTTATTGACCCACACATTCTTGAAATATTTGTAAACAGCTATCCGCTTGCATGGATTTTGCGGATCCGGTGGTGTGGCGTCGTACTATAATTATTTGTCCGTTTTATACATGTAGACTATCGTGTACTACTTGTTGCTTTTGCAAGTGGATTGCAGTGCACTAACGAATCTCTTGCTTGTTTTTCATGGATAACTGCATTTACATGATAACTTTGTTTATGGCCATTGCTTTGCATACAATTCTTCTATCGTCTACCACAGGCATTTGTATTTGTTGTAGTTATTTTGCATTTTGCTTGTGATCTTTGATATTTCCAATACATTCGTTGCTGCTACCTGTAGGCAGGTAGATGTATTCATTCATAGACTGAAATTGACTAAAGGATACTGCATTCACTAAAGCCTTTATGCATCTACTCATAGGTGGTATTTGGTGCGTACATATGTATTGCAGATCTTCTACAAGGGCCCTTAGGAACTTGTATTTGTTGCATATCATCTAGTGGTTGATCGCAACGGATCAATATATTTGCTCAATATTGAGCGACGACTGATCATAAAGGTGCCATAGCATTCATTGCCTTCTGCTATGACAGTTTGTGAATGCTTGTGTTCATCATATGCCTACTCCCCATGTTTGTAAGTAACTTATTGCACTTGTGAAGGGTCTTTGACAGCAGCATATGAGAACTTGTATTTGTTGTAGTCCTGCAACATTTCACTGTAACTGCTTACAAGTAGATTAATATGCTCATTTGCAAGCTAATGTTGGTTGATTTGCTTACGGATGTTAGCATCCAACATATGTGATTGCTGATAAATCACCTCATTGTAAGCTTTTTGTCATCATTTGCATGGGCTTTAGTGTCTTCT